AAGTACGAACGCTCTCTTGCTCGCCTTTCTCCTTGTCCCTTGCATCCTGTTGCGTATCTGCCCTTATTTATCGGAAGACACGTCGCCGACAGCCGAAAGTCTCCGATTGCCAATCCGACGGGGAGAGAAACAATCCTGCTGTTCCTGTTTCTGCGGTTCGCGCGCACTGGGTGTGTGCGCTCGGAATGCGCTGAAACATTGCGGCCACGAGAGCGGCGGGATTAAATCTTGATGCATTGCCGTTATCCACGCGTGAATTTTTGCACGCGCGCATTAGAGCCGCACGGCGAAAAAAGTTATCAATTTATTGCACGTGCGGCGTCGATACGCGATAACGCTCGCGCCGCAAACCTCCCGGCGAATTATTAATTGCCGGCCCGATCGCAATTGTTGTACCAAACAAGTTCCCGCGTCCCGCGTCGTTGTTTGCGTTGTATAACCACGCTTATCGCGATCGGCCACGATGTCGTTGGGTGTATCTTAAAAGCGTTGTTGCCTTCGTGCTCGCAATGCTTGCAATAATTCATTAATAAAATTTATTAAAAGTAATAAAAAAGGCTCTGTACTTATAAACGAAAGATAGTATAAGAGAAGGGCAAAGAGCCAATAACGTAAAAAAGAATTATAATTTAAATAAGCAAAACTAATACAAAACAATTAAAATAAAAGAAAATAAAACAAACGTTTCAACTTCAATCGAGTCATTTTCAATGCAATCTTACAATAATATAAATATCGTTCTAAATTAAAAATTCGTACATAATCTTACAATATTCTTATTCTAAGAATTAACTCTTGATTAATTCTTGATAAAAATGACTCGCAGCGTATTCCACAGAAAGAAGAAATTTTATGTTAAGGAATTGTAAGAATATTGTAAGATTATGTACGAATTTTTAATTTAGAACGATATTTATATTATTGTAAGATTGCATTGAAAATGACTCGATTGAAGTTGAAACGTTTGTTTTATTTTATTTTATTTTAATTGTTTTGTATTAGTTTTGCTTATTTAAATAAAATTTATATTATTATATGTATTAAACTTTCTCTCTCCCGAGTCTCCTCTCGAGTCTTCCACGTCGAGTCTCATATTTCTCTTTGTCGCGTGATTATTGTCTGCCCCAAAACAGTCCTACGACTTTAACGGAATTATACGAGAGATTGGGAGCCACTGACATTCGCATTCCTTACGATATTTTCACGTGCCGTCGATTTTTGTCAGACCAGTTTCGAGCGGAATCTGGCGTGGCACATTTATTCGATTGACTCGCTGACGACTAATGCGGTCTCCTGTTGTAGTTGCGTTGCGATTACGTGATGTCATTTTGCATGTTATTTTAAGCTTATCCATTCATGCCTCGGGTTTTTATGAAAGAACGTTGGAGTGGATAGCGGTTGAAAGACAGAAGGTTACCGCGTGTCCAGGATAAGCTGTTTGGCCGCTAGACAATAATTGGCGCACACACGATATTTATAATACGGAATACTACAGATGGGGAGGATAAGAGTCTAGTTTAACAGGCGGAACTGATGTTTCCGACCATGGCTTGCCGTTGCATCGACTATAACTTTATGTAACCGTGCATAATGCACATTATTGCATTAAATTATTTATTCGCGATCGAGCGAATATTCATCGTGCATGATATGGATATTGCAGGAAGTTTGAGCATGCATTCCTACGTTTTGCCGATTAAATGTCGTACAATAGCAAGTCGCGAAGTACGCGAATACATTGTACGTTTAACTATTATCATATTTCAAGCTACGGTTGCTTTCGAAGTTAGCGTGTTGATATTAATATGAACATCAAATTCAGATTTTATTTCGAGTGTTGACAATACTCGAATTAAATAACGACATCTGAGAAATCGTACAAGATATTCATGTTTTTGTATCATACAAAAGTTCTTGGAAATTTCTTTAAAGTATCTTCGTTTACATTTATAATAATATATATTTTTCTTAGTAAATAAAAATTTAGTTTTTTTTAATAAGATTTAATATATATAAATTATTTTTAAAAATAAAAATTATATTATATTTTTAACAAATTTGAATTTTAAAAATGATTTATATGATTTGTATGATTTATATGAATTAATCAAGTGTGAATGATGAATTAATAATAATAATAATTCATATCATTTATTCAATGTTGTATTAATGATTGAAACTTGGAGATAACATGCACTGTATAATAGGAAGATGAATATTTTGCACAATAATCTGGCGTATCGGTCATACATCCGTTATAATCGTACTGACCTTTTATGTTCATTCAAGCAGTACATGATATTAATACATTCGAGTTAAAAGATAGATATGTACTGTCTTTACGTAAACACTACACGGAAAAAAAATTAATTGGGCGGTACAGCAAACTTGTAACTTACTACGCGAATTCAACATCTATAACTAAAAAGATTTGATAGTTTAACAAATCGTTAATGTTATTGAGCTGTCAACTTTGCTACTTTAACATATAAAAAATTGACTGTACATTATGACTTGCTGGATTTGCTGAATCAGTGAAGTTTTCAGCTGTGTCTTTTTTTTCCGTGATACGTATTTCGGGATATCACATAACAGTCGCACAATTTCCGTTCAGACGAACAAGCGGTTCGAGTAACAATGAACGCTATTAAATTATACGCGCATATAATGTCATACGTTGTGGACCGCCATAGGATATGGCTCGCAAGGTCTTGCCCAACGGCGACCACGATTCTCTCCATTCGCTATCGTATACCTGTCATCGCACACGTAGACAAAGCATCCGCCACTAATCGAGGACCGCTAAGCCGCCTTTCTTCTTCGGCGAGCAGTTCACTCGCGAATGAAAGACTAACGATTGTTGCGAGAGCCTCTTCCTCGAATAACGTCGGAGCATTTAGGACTCGTCGTGTCCTTGCCGAACGCTTACATGCGGATCTTTGTCTTGCCTCTCAAGCCCCGGGCGATGTTGCTAGAGCTGATAGAATTGTGCTATGCACTTAATGCATAGGAAGTAAATTAATGTTAATTTCTACAAAAGATTACAGTTCGATAGTTTTGACATTTTCAATATTTGACAATTTTTTTTGACATTTTTTATTAAGATCTGAATATTTAACTTTTTGTCCGCTTCATTCAAGTTGGACTTTGAAAGCACAATTGATATTTTAACTTTCTGGTAGATATTAAATCTCTAAAAAAATAAAATAAAATACAATCCGACTTCTATGATGGTAAAAACTTGTTCTTAAAGTTTTCACTAGTATATTATTCGAAAATTTGTGTTACATTCAACACACTTTACGTATCCCAAATTTAAATTTTTTGTGTTAATTTAACACAAGTTCATGATATATTAGAAAATAACATAAATGTATAATTATATAAAAAAAATTAATACAGAAAATATAACATTGACACACTTTGTACGCAAACTGTGGAAGTATATTTTTTTTTAGTAAAATTAACATTTGTATTATATTAACCTAACACGTATTTTATTCATTCATCTTAAAATTTACGTTTCAAAACACATTTTTATTTTATATTATTTATTCACTTATTCATAAGATATGTAATTTTAACATATTGAATTTAAAAAATGTTAAAAATCAGTTTAATACAAGAAATTTAAATATCTTAATCATATTATGTTAAATTGACACTTGAATATATTAAGAATTTAACACAAATTTTAACAAGAACTTGAATCGTTTCTAACAAAAATACAAAATGATTTTTACTATACAAGAATTTCTTTTCATTTTTATACAATCTGGAATAATAAAAATCTGTACTGAACTCAACATAAAAAGTGCAAAGTTCCATATAATCGATAGAGGATTAACAATAATTTAATAATAATAAAATTTTATTACATATGCATTTTTATCTTGGAAATTCAATTTAAATTAAAAACTTTAAATTTAACTTTCAACATAGAATACTTTTATCGATGTCTCGTTACAAGAAAATCATTTTTTAGTTTAGCACTTCTAGTTTTGACATGCGTAATATAATTTTTAATATACAAATACCAAAATTGATCGTGAAATTAATGCAGTGTCGTCACTCTCATTACGCTGTAACTGTCATATTTACATTCACTCGACGATGTATATCAATTCGAGATTAATATCAAGATTGTGTCACGGATACACGTCTCATCACGCGTTCCTGACGGTACGAACGTGCGTTATCCGCGTTACAAAACGGATCAGCCGCATGAAAGTTGAAATTGAAAGTTAGCGTGGGCCGATAGCTACCGCCCAGACCGGTCCAAGTTTACTCGTACATTAAGTCGGCGATCCGGCCCGAGGAAATATCATTGGTCTGCGTTCGTCGAGTGCTCCTTAGCGGGATAGTAACGGGGGTGGAGATCGCTTCGAGTCTTACACAGCCTGATATCATGCGAGAACAACCTGGCAAACAGTGTTACAAAGAATGCAGATACGCCTCGTTTCACGGCCGATATAGCAATTCGAAGTAAAGGGGAATTCCTGTATTTTTGCGGTTTTCGCAAAAAAAAAGGACTTGATTAAACGTTTCGTTGCAAATGGTATTTTGCGGCAGCAAAAATGACAGGCGAATTCTAACAGGTTTTACCTTCATACTGGAGAATGTACGGCTACCGAAGATTGTTGGTGTTATATATATATATATATTTTTTTACGTTCAAGTACACATTAAGACCCGGTTAGCTGTCAACCCGAGATCGTTTTACTCAATCGATATTATAGTTACGGCATTTGGAATGGTACCAGCAATCGCCAACCGAAGTTAGTTAGTCGATGTTGTTGGCGTACTGACCCTGATTTAAATATTTACGAAGGTGGAGAGCGATCTTGGCGATGATGTTCCTCAGGCGCGAATCGTTAACGTGGAGTATACAGGAGGAGATTTCCACAGTCGTGTCGAGGAGCGCACTTGTTCTAGAATGCGATAATTGGCTCCGCTCGTCCGAATGTCGGATCTAAATCTCGTTCTCGTTCTGATTGCAGATCGCCGGACAATTATTGGACACGGAATTTCAGCCGACGGTGACGGCGACGTGCAAGGGCGGCTATATGACGATTCGTGTCAATCTCAATCAGAGTTTCGTAGGCGCAGTCCATGCACGAGACCATCGGACCCCGCAGTGCATGGTATCGGGCAACGGCACCACGCACGCCACTCTGGGCATTAATCTTTTTGCGTCGCAGGACAGTCCCGAGTACTGCGGAGTTCTAGTGAACAACGTGAGTCCGCTATGATTATGGAAATCATACGCCAAGAGCGACGGAATTATGGATCTAGCTGTTGTTTATTTCTATGATTTGCAAATTGTTAATCTGATTGACAATTGTATACAATAGTACGTGTACTACGAGACTTAAGTATTAATTTCGAGAAATCAACTCTTTACGTTTGAGCAGCTTGCTACTCGTAAAAAAAAAAAAGAATGTTCCGCCGCACAAGGTGTACTTACGTTTTACACGTTTCATAGAGAGATACGGAGAAATTAGTACTCGCGTCTATTTACATGAGGAGTTTCCAGAAAATTAATTGTTTTGAGAAGGTTGCGGGTATGCTAATTTACATACTCGGCCACTGAAGACGCCTCGAGAATAACGTGAGAATTCATGATATATGGAGATTATGATTTGCATTTGAATCCCTCTCTTTCCGCCTAGGTATTTGTTCTGCAAGTGTAACGCTCTGTGGCCGAAGACTTAAAGCCTTTCCACACGTAAAATATTCATGTATATACATAATTGAGTTTACAAAGTGTTCTCTTATAAACTTTACTAATCGTAGAAGTTAAAATAAATATTTTAATAATGAATAATTTTTGACAAATAAGCGGTTATTTTGCTGAATTATATCTTATTTTATATTTATAAATATAGCGATATATATTGCAGCACACAGAAGAACGTTCCGTTCCTATCGCTGTTAGGATACACAAAACGCTGGAATTAGCGGATGACAAGTTTTATGTCATTACGTGCGGAAAGGCGGGTTTCAAAAATGCCAAGTAAGTTGAAGATTAATTATAAAATAATGTAAATATCATATAAGATATAAATAATATTTGATAGAGGAATTTATTAATAGAACATAAAAAATAAATTATGTATTTCTTAAAACTATTATATTTAAAATATTATCTTAAAACTAAGCGAAAATGAAAATTTGTATTATTCAAACTCACAAAAATATTCGTACAATCTAAAAATTCAGCTTCTAAGATCAGAAACGCGAAGCTTCAAAAGATATTCATTGTATAAAGTTGCTAATTAATGTTTATTTTCTACAAATAAGACTTTTTTGATAAAGTTCTTTCCCGTACGAATACATACACTTTTTACATTCACTAAGAGTTAAACGTCATTAAGTTTTCAGCTGATGCTGCGGGTTTATTTTATTTATGAACTCTCTCCGTAAACTATCGTAAAATAACCGTGTATGCTAAGTTTTTCAAACGTACGAGAAATAGAAATATCTCGCATCAGTGACTGCTTGACACGCGTGAGTAGCGCTATCTAAACGGGAAATACTATGTATTTGAGGCTTTTAATCGGTTATTAGCGGTTCCGTGTTTTCTAATCAAACGTTGATGTTTGCTACCACTCAGCTATATATTTCCGTCTGCGCGGTATATTGATTGTACGTACAGATATTTCAACTTAAGAGTGATCAATTTAGATTGTCGATACTTTACACAATATCGAATACCACAAGTTTTAAGAGGGATGAAAAGGTTTGGACGGCTAAAAATTATGTAAAATTCGAATATCATTTGTGGACAAATGAATAAGTATATATAAATTTTCTTTTTAGCATGTCTTGAATGCTTCCTTACGAATAAAATAAGCCGCAAAAGTCCACAAAAATGGAAGCAATATTGAAATTTAAAGGCAAAGCGCGATTTGCGTACTGCTCCGTTTTTGCCACGATAACTTAAAAACAGTTGTAGAAGTCGGCTACAAATTTTTTCTAAAGTAAAGATAATAAAATTTTCCGTAATAAGTATTCAACAAGTATCTAATAGACACCGTTTCTTTAGAGTTAAAAGAATTAAAAGATGATTTTATCCATTAAAATGTTGTCATTTAATTATACGCTGGTCGGAGAAGAGGCTACCTTGGAGATAATAAAATTTAATTGGGCATCCAAGAAATTAGACAAATAGAACGATGAATCAGTAATTAAAATGCTCGCGACGCTACGGTTTACCGCAAGTTTTTCTTATTCTGTAGCGAAAAAATGCGGCTGACAATTGGTATGCGTCCATTGTCAAATGAGATATCCCACAAATGACAAGTAGCTTCTTTGTCAGAATATACCTTCTGAATAAATTTTCTTGAGTCGAGACACTTTGATAGTCGATACACATGACTCTGCACGATTCGTTGATTTTCTTATCATATGCATATCGCCAGATATATCAACTTGTTGACATAACTTTTTTGTACTTTTATCCATTCGCTTTGATCGCAACTTTGATTAAGCTTACGTCACGTTTCTAATAATAAAATACGCTACGTAAAAAAAAAAGAACTCCTGCTCACGAACAACGCTTTTTGCGTAGAAATGAAACTTCGTTGGTTTCCCTGCGCCTTTTGGATGAAGGTATGAGAGTACAGGAAGCTATATACGGTCACAACTATACCCTGCGTGCTGAGATTTCACGCCCAGACGGTTCGTATCTTATCCAATTCCGTCATTTGCTTTTACGTCCAGATAATACAGACAAATCCGTTAGCCGCGGTTTCTTCGTGAGAGCTTGCTGTCTGAAACACTGTTTCGTTGAACATTCAATTTGCAGGAACGTACGGGATTCGAGTCAAGAATTGCTTCGCGTTCAACAAGCTCAATTCCAGCGTGCAGCTTATAGACGACAAAGGGTAAGCCTATAATTATTACTTTGATATACGATCTGTCTAATAAAAGCGTGACTGGGAAAACTTCTGTTCGAAAATTGTTACTGCAGCAACTTTTGAACGAGCAGATAAAAGAGCTCTTCTCTACAAGGCAAAAAACATATTAATCATCGGACATTTATTTTTGTATCTTTCTAAAGACGCTATTTAAGAAGTTGAGATATAAAGAGTAAGATTTTTAAACAGAGTTCTATGAGGTCATGCTTTTATTAGAAAGACTGTAAATTGGAGATAAATAATATATAATTTGAATAAATAAAATTTAACAAATTTTATATTCATCAATTTTGTAAACATTTATAAGCTATGAATAAATATTAGATGTTTGAATATTATAGTCGAAATATATAAAAAAAGTATTTATATATTTATGTGATATAAATTTTGGTTAAAAGTATATCATAATTTTTAATTTTCATTAATTTCTATCTGTAATTTATTTTCAAGTTGATATGATAAATAAAAATTCTCTTAAATGATTTTCATTAAAACTTCTATTGCTAAGATCTTCATAATGCCTAACGAGAACTCAAGTTACTGTTCTTTATAAGTTTTATTCGAAGCGGATTTAGAACTTCGAAGATAACAAAGCGTTCAATTAAGAGAGAAGTTTAAATTAATCTTAATTCTATTTTCATTAACCAGATGTAACTCAAATTAAAAGGAAGATGCGCAATTTGCTATTATATTAGTATGCTTTATAGCGTAGCTTCCTTTAACAATGGAAATGATTCGCTAATTGTGACTTGTTTTGATTACAAAGCTGTCCCGTGAAAGTGCGAATGACGAAATTCATATATGACCGAAGTACCGGTATAGCGGATGCCACATTGTTTTCCATGTTCCGGTTTGCCGACAGTTCAGAGGTGCATTTCCAATGCGACATCGCTGTGTGCAGAGGTAAAACTCATCCGGTGAACGATTTCCCATTAGCATCTGGTTACGAATGTGGGTTATAAAATGGCATTCAACTTTTACGATTCGTTGTTGTGATATTACACAGCAGATAGCGATTCTCGTTCATTTTATGAGGAATTACTTTTTATGTCTCAAATCGTAAAAGTTATGACCCTTTTAAAATAAAATATTTAGCATCACATACTGATTTAGTTTCAGTGTCATACTGAACATGAAATTGCACACAGAGTGTTTTAAAAGTATAATGTATGTAGTCTTTTTATATGTCTGTTGTTTTCTTATTTTTCTTATTTTTCACAATTATTAACACTTTCGAACTAACATAACAAGTTCCCCATGTATAATTATTATCGAGTATATAAAAACTCGATCACGTCACGGACCATTCTCTTGATGTATAATTACTTATCGAATATACAAGAACTTGATCGAAACTGTTTTTGTTGCAATGTAACGCAATTAAAATGTACGTGTCTAGGAAGTTGCGGTACCCCTATGTGCGAAGGAGACAAAGAAGAGCTGATAAAGGGTGGCTCCTCCACTAACGGACAAAGTGTTAGTAGTGAAGAAGGAGTGCTACTTGCTGGAACGAGCGTTTTTGTCCTCCAACCAGGCGAAAAACGAGGTAAGCTAATAAGAAGTGCGCTATCGGTGAATTAACTGTTATTGTTACTGTTACACTCTGTTATTATTAGACATCATTATTCTTACATATTCTAACATATTCTCATTTATCATCTCCTACCTTTATAAAGAAAAATGAAGAGTCAATTTCCAATTAATAAAATTCTTTCCAATTAATAAAATTTTGACTTTTTCTTTTCGGCTCGTATTGAGTTTAATTTTCTCTAGTCTCTTTTAAAGAAATTTCTTTGCTAATAAAAAATGTATAAATATAATATACATAGTACGCGATAAATTACAAAAATACATCCTACATCATGTTGCAGTCAATAAAGAAATATTTAATAACTCGTAATTATTTGGAAAGTACCAAGTGAAAGTGCATTTTTAATCACTTTTTTAAAGAAGCTGCGTTTTTCCAAACGGAAGTCAGTCTAATTTCTATAAGCAGAGATAGTGATTTGATAAAGACATCGATGAAAATGATTAGAATAACTACCGCTGAAATTCTTGTAGCATCCACTTTCCTTTGCAGTTAGTTTTGATAAGCCATCGTGACATGAAAAGTATGTAGCCAGTCAGGAAAGCATGCACGATCTTCTTCTTTCTTTGTCCCCTTATTGCTTCTCTTGCATATATATTCCATTTATGTCTTCTTCCTGCGCGTCATAAAATGGTTGCCTGTCATCCCTCTTCGTTATCCTGACCCGCATTTGAATCACTTCGACACGCAACTTGCTCAGAAGCTGTCATCAAATTATAATGTACACTCAAGCTGGTATAAGTGATCTTATTTCGCATATCACACTTTGTGCTTTTTTTCGTCAGTTCATCCTACGGTCTTTTGCTGTAATTTTTACATCCGATCATCAATGATGTCCTTGTTAACTTATGTCGGTAAAATTATATTATTTAATAGAAAAATTAATTGAATATTTTCTTATTTTAATTCCGTACAAATAAATGCGTTTTAATGAGAGAAATAAGAGTTGTTATTAATAACTGTTTTAAAATTACTAAAACAGAAACTAGAGTTGAAAACATTATCAAGAATGGAATTTATCATTGAAAAATTATTTCATATCATATACATATTTATGCGTGCTTTTTATATTAAGGAAAAAGTCTTTTTACAAGTTGATAAAAAGACTTTTCCCCATCAATATCTTCGTTAAAAATGATTAAAATTTAAATTTAGAAAGCTTGTAATCTTTAAAACCCTTTTGAATGGTTACTATATTTGAATTTATGTGAGTTTTATAATTTTTGTATATAGAAAACTATGAGCTGAAAAAAATGAAAAATTTTCTTTTCACTTTGTAGATCTATAGTATGTCTAAAATAATTTGAGCAAATTTTTGACCACCTAAGCTTGAAGCTTTCCCTATAAAATTATTTTTTAAAAATATTTCTAAGATTTTTTTGTTCCTGAATTACTCGCGAATTAAGTAAAAAGAAATTCTGACTTTATTATTCGTAACTCCATTAAAAATAATCGTACTGCAATTAAAAATACAGATTCTTAAAGCTAAAACGTTGCTCTATCAAATAGTGTAATTGCCAATTTTTTAAAATAAAATATGTGGCTTGCTAAAAAAGTCTTTTTTTACCAACTTATAAAATGATTTTTTTCCCTCGTCCAATATATAGAATTTTTATTTATTTTTCATTGAATTATTTATTTAAACGAATGGAGTTTACTAATATTGTAACTGATGATATTTCCATTACACGCACGTAAAAAACGTACAAACTTAGAAATATATGAGTGCCTATCGCGATATGAAAATTACATAGTAATTTCTTTCCAGTTGTACAAACATTGCACGATGACGGCAGCGTGCACCCGCTGTGGCTTCTGTGGCTGGCGGTGGCACTCGGAATATTATTCCTCATCATGCTCATTATCAACATATTCCTGTGTTCGGCGATGACCTGTAGCTGCACCCGGACCGACATTATCGAGAAGGAGCCGTCAATCATTGAGGATATATATATATATATATATATATATATATACATATATATATAATATATATAGTACGTGTGTACGCGTGTCAATTCGGAATTAATCTAACGGTGATTTCATTAGCTTCTCAATAATTGATTTGAGCCACTTAAATGACTTTACTCTTTTATAATTGATCATAAAAAATTAATTTAAGGATATGTGATCGAAGAATCTCAAGTCTCTCTAGCGAAATTGATCATAACCTTTCTGACAATAAGTAAAGTTATATTTAAGTGCGCAGAGTCACGGCAATTAATGTCTCATGTTATATATCACGACGCATGCGATGGCGTGCCTGAACGAATCCTTCTTGTGTTTAGGTACTCATTAAACGGAAAGCAAGGATACGCCTCCGGGGGATCCACTATGAACTCCACGAGGTCGATATCGACGAATAGCGATCATTATGCGATAGTGCACTCTCGACCAGGAAGTAGATATTCCGGTCCTGGACAGAAGCATCATCATCATCACAGAGGACCGCCATCCAATATCGGTTCACACTACTCCGGGAAGTGATGTTCCCGTTAGCTTCATTTATCAAAAACTAGAACTCCATTGTCTTCATTAACATTACTCTAATTAAACGCAAATTTTATGTATATGCGTCGCTATGGCATTATTCCAACCGCACGAATGACAGGCATTCGGTTCAACCGTAAAACCGCAACCGATGCAACCTTAGAAGAATTTAAAATATTATATAAGAAATATAAAGTTAAAGTACTGAACAAAATATTGAACAATGCGTTAACATTTTTTTTTTATGATAAAAAATCATTTTGTCGCTTTTTGGCTGAAAGTCAACTTATCACATTTATCGTACATGAAATAAAAAACTATTGATTTAACATTAAAATATAATGAATTAATAATAATAAAAAGTGTTAATAGGCCAAGTTTAATATTACATAATGATACTTAATTTATCTTTTTGGACAATTTGAAAATTTTTCAGCAATGAAATTTGTATGATGCCAAGTATTACACGTGTTTCACCGTATATCATATTTACCGTTTTTCTCACATAGATCTTTTTTTATACTTTTGCACTTGTTAATATCAACGACAATGAACACCTTAGATACTGGAAACGCGGATTAAGTATATTGATGAAACAAAATTTTTTTTGCAAAATTTTTAGCGGATAAGCACGACGTAAAACGATACGTATTCACACATTGATATTTTTATATTTAGCTTTATCATTCGTGGAATGATTCTCGTGCTTTAGACTGCGTATGTATCATAATATAATAGTCATAAGCATAGGCACTAGAATTTATAAAATTGCGTATTGATCTTAAATAAGATATATTAGATAAATGCTTTTTGTACATAAATTCATTAATCTAAAAAACATATGTGTCTTTTATTTCTATTGGCAAATATCTGCAGTAATTTGAATTATGCGAAACGTTTATAAATTATAATTTTTTAAAATAGAATATCGTTGCTTCTTCTACTTATTATATCCAAACAGAACAACAAATCATTATGATATCAAAATGATGTCGAAATGACTTTGAAATGACTATAAGTTATTTTTCAATCATTTCCGACATTTTAATGTCATTTTGATATTATCGTGACATGTTGTTCTGCTTGGGTAGATAATTTGCGATAATAATTACGAATTTTCTGCAACTTTCATTTATATCCATGCATAATGTTATGTTCATTTAATGTTTAAGAAATATTCAGAGCATTTTTTTTGTTACTATCCGCGATGGACTAGCTAGTCACGTTTGAGTTTATGTATTTTTTTCCATGTAGTCGACGATCATAGTTTATGATTTTTGCATAAAATTATACGAATTCTACGGTAATGTGACAATAATAAACGTTGCTTCAATAATATGCGCCGAATGAGAGCATTGTGACTTGTGTTATTAGAGCTAATAACGATAATTCCGATTACGAATCGCATTTCATTTTTACGTTCTTATTCTGCCAGAAACATCTTTTTCTACTTTCATACCCAACTGTCCTGTTATGACCTTCTAACTTACCTTCTTATTTTAAGTGAGCGGACTTCGAGTCATCACGTTTTTTTTTTTTGCAAAATGAGTATTCTTAGCACATCCAGTCAGTAAATTACGGTAGTTAAAGTTAGACGTCTAAGAACAGCTCGAAGTCTTTGTGCGAAAATTGAGAAATAGGTTAGTGAAGTTTCTTCTAAAGAAACGCAACGATGGTAGTATAATTACATTGGAAGTATAATATTTAAAATTATTAAGTAAAATTATTAAATGCTATTTTTACAAACGATTTATTATTAAAAATACATTTTTAGAATAAAATACGAATGAGTGGTCTGCAGCAGCTTTGCATGTGTCCCTACGCATACACAAATATAACTCTCGCTTAAATACTCCATATAAAACACGAAAACTCATATATTTACGGATGGTAACTGACAGTATTTATACGGTATTTAGTTACATGAATAATTACACGGGGACTGGGGAGAAAACTGATATTACTAGCTACATGAATACTGAAAAATTTTCAGTATTACAATATTTACAATGATCGATGTACCTGCTCGAAGAGTTTATCAAATAACTGTTAATCAAAATTACTACATGATTGATCTTTTAATTTTCTTTTTTTAGCAAAATTTACTTTTTTAGTATTTTTAGCAAAATTAAAAATTTTTTAATTAGACAATTAACTCGATAACATGCGTAAATATTTAAATCAAAATATGTCCATTTCAGATTTTCATCTTTAAAAACTATTGTCGATAGAAAATATGTGGCAAAATCAATTAAAAATTATTTTGAACGCATAGAAAACTTTAGTGAAATTTACAGTAAAAATATTTGTAATGCACAGCCTGCAAGGAGTGCATGCCTTAAAAATTGGACATGTAATTTGTAAAACAATAGTATTTTATCGCATGTATAATTATTTAACTCTTTACTCTAAAAAGTTTGATTAGAATTTTATGATTTTCTGAATGTGTGCAAATATAATGTCACCGAAGTGACATGACGTTTTCAAATAACACATAATAATTGGCTATTATTGCCTTTAATCTTATACCTAATAATTAATTATAATAATTAATTATAATAATTCCATAACCGGATTCATTATTAAAAGTGCCAGTGTATCGATGTTGCAATTAATCTGATTAGCCTTAATAATACGATACAATATCATCTGCACACAGATTATCTTCACACAGAAAATTAATTAGAAGTATCCCATATTCCTTATTGCCTGCGAATGATAAATCATGATTAAGCGTCGACGATGAAATCAGTCTGTTCATCATTACGCCATGAGTGAGTCAATGAATTTTAAAAGATTTCCTCACGAGAAAACGCAGAATCAATGTGCTCGTAATATAGTTAATTAAACGGCAGGTACGTTATCTCCTTGATATCTCTTTTAAACTATTTCTTACTAAGAATATATTTCTTACTAAGAATAAAACGATTAGTTTAAAAAAATACACAGCGTATATTTGCTATCCCATAAAACCGCGTCTATTCAAATAGATCGACGTACTGTCACAGTCTCCGAAGCCGACCGCCTTGATTGGTAGTATCATAGATACATCCTCTCGCTCTCACATCGCGGATTCGCGTCGGCTTTTGCACGTCTCTAAATCGTGCTTGTTAATCCCAGAAACGTTCTCCTTTGTCGAGGCGAGAAAGCGAACGGCCGACTCGAGAAAGCAACAACAATTCGATAGTTCAATGCAAAAGGATCACAATTTAAAAAAAAAAAAGGATGATTTTTCAGGTGGTACTTTCTTTTCATTTTAACGAAAGGAAAACTTTGTGAGTATGTTGTACGAAATTATGTACTTTTGTATATTCTAGTTATTAGTAGTTTATGAAAAAATATCTCTAAGTTAAATGATTTTATTTGTGTTTTTTTAATTTTTTATATTTTTTTGACAATAGAAAAATGGATTTCTTTTCTCTTGGCAATACCAACTGAAAAATTCGTTAATCCACGCTACATCTCTTTTGCATTAAGTCGGCGAATTAAGTGCATTTCACGATTACGCTATTGAGTATTTCGTGTCTCAGTGATCCTGACAAGTGTATTTAGCGAAATGTATCAAGAAAATTTTATCTATAGATATAAGGCACGACGCACGCGCGTTTGCGATCTCGCACATCTAAGTAATGCTAAGTCCACAATCTTGTTTTAAGAGACCGTAAGCTTGTAAGTGATGATATATTGGTTACAGAACTTATGCTTTTAGGCCGTAAGAATTGGGTTTTGTTCAATTCGCTTAAGTATGACGGTTAAAGCCTAAATCTGCGCAAAAACAGTTTAAAGACAGAAATTATTGTCACTTAATCTCTTTCGATTTGTGACTTAGGTCCTCTTAAAGTAAGGTGGACCCTACCCTAATGTTTCTGCATCTGTTTACCTTGTATGACCGAACGATTTAAGCGTTAATTGTGAGTTGCATGTAAACATATCTATAGAAAATTGAGGCACCATGAATAAATGTACAGCTACTGTTGCGCCGTATGCATTGCGCATATATTAATGATAAAATGTCAGCCTACGTCTGTGCCTTCGAAACAGACATCAATTTAGGATGTCGCTGAATTTCGAAAGATAACGCAAACGGAAGGTGAAAAAATAAATATATTGATGCAGCTGAAAGAAGAATGACAATCATTAACCTTTACAGGACGGGAAAGCCATTAGAGTGACGCTGAAAAAGTGTTACATTATGAGACAAGAAATAAAGAATTATAACAAACGACATATAATATGATCGAGGAAAAGCTGTAAGATTTTAATTTAAAAATAAATGATGTATTTTAAAAATAAACTTCAGTCCTCTAAAGGTAAACGATACTATCGCACGTTGGACATTGTTAGGTTCTTATGTTAAATATGAATAATCGCGCCAATATTACTGTGATACTTTCATCAATTTTAGGCTGACAAAACAATAATGAAACGAGCAATTTCGGGCATGCGCGAATTCACTTCCTAACTAAAAGACTGTTTTAAAAGCCTGGATCTGTCGAGGGAAATTCGTCATTTGCAATTACATCAATCGTGTTACACTTTTACAAAATTGTTTATCTTGTTATTATATCTTTTCTTCAGTTTTTTTAAACGACGAACAAATAAATAAAAAGATAAACTCTCTAAACTTTTAGAGTGAAACACTCTGAAAAGTGAAATGTTATTTTTAAAGATTGAAAAGTGAGTTACTTTTTTTCAACTGGTTCAATTTTCACTCTTTGGAGTGAGATTCCACTTCAAACAATTTAGAGAGTAAGAATAAAGATGCTCTACATAATCCGCAATTCGCAAATTGCAAAACGTAGTTCGCAAACGCAGAATGACAATCACCGCACACAAGATACACACAGACGAAAACCAACTGCATGCAATGAAAAAAAAAACGCAAATCTGCGTTTGCGAACTACGTTTTGCGATTTGCGAATTATGTAAAAGCACCTTAAGATGATGTAGTCGCAAAGATGATTAAAATGACTGATCAATGAAAATAAACTTCAAGTTGAATGATTTACAGTTAATATAAAGTTAGTCACTATTAGTTTAAATAAATATTATGTTCTATACGTATGAAATATAATTTTTATCTTTATAATGCTTTCAAAGTTAATATGTAAGGATCCTTAAATAATTTTGATAGTCGCGGATTCCGTGATCGTACAGATCCAGCCTGTTGGAAGGGCATTTATCCTAATGATAATTCTCCACCCGAACCGTCATCACGGCTTCCCGGCGATGCCCCTCTTATTCTACGTACCCCGTTACTCCCACATTAATATCTCGTTAAGTATAGTGACTATTTCTACATTATATACAGAGCGTTACAAACGTTAGCCAGTAACGTTCGTAAGGTTGGATATAGTT